TTACTAAAGGTGTTTCTCGGATCGGAAACAGAATTACAAAGTAGTCGAATCCAATGTTTCAACTTGAAAACGGTAGCTTCCGAACGAACGATCGTATCTTCCATCCGGACCCGACCGATCCGTTCGCAAACCCGTCTTTCTATGCATTCGACGTTACACAGAAGACAAAAACAGTCACGATCCTGACTGAACGAGTTGAAAATCGTTCCATCGTACGTCGAAATTCGCTCGTTTCAACCCTTTCGGTATAACGAGCGGCTCTTGTAGTTCGCGGTACGAGAACATCTCTTAAAACTTTTCCCATTGTTTTCGCGTTCTAATTAATTTTTTAGAGCTTTCCTTGGACCACGAGGTGCACAAATCAGAAACCGATAATTGCAGCTCGCATGTAATATACAGTCCGAACTTGTGTGCCGCTCCGGTTAGCCGTGGACTACGTCGAATCTCTTAAGAATCGGATTCGCTTTACGAACCGTATAACGGCACGGATTGGGGCATTTTTCGTTGCCGCTTCACCGTAGCGAAGGGGTTCGTACCAATGGAAAAATCTCGAAAAACCAGAGTTCAGGTTTTTTTTTCCACCCGAAGAGCGCTTCTGAAAGCGGGACAAGCTGTTCGTCCCTGTTAAACAGGAAATTTTTGCGAGATTATTCTTCTCTTCTGCGACGAAATCGTCGCAATTGTTTTCGAAAACGTGCAAACACGCGGGAATTTTACAATTTCACGGTGAACGGTGCTTCGGAAAGAACGGTTCCGATCGGAGCGCAGCGATTCTTCGCGGAAAAGTCGAGACGCGGTGTCTCGCTTTCGAACGAGGACAGACCGTCGAGGATGGCAATTTAGCTAAAGAGATCGCGGGATCTCTGGAATGAATGGTTAAAAATTGAAAGCGGTGGCGTGCTGCTCGAGCAAGTTAACAGGTGTTCTCGTTGAAGCATCGAAAGCAGCGAGGCTTTCGAACAAAAACGTTTCAACCGGTAGTTTTGTCGCGAAACATTGTTGAAACTTTTCGCTCCGAACGTTCGCGGCAAAAGGATCGAAGAGGGTCTCGACTCGACTCGTCCCACCTTTTCAGAATAGACCACTCGCCGCGTGAATTTTCTCCCGAAATGTGACAAAGATTTGTCGTATTGGAACTCCTTTTCACTTATTCGATGCTACCTTCCAATCGATCGCGATTCATTTTTGCTTCGAGAGTTCGATATTTCGTCTTTATACATTTATTTTAAAGATTATCCGTATCTACTGCTCTCCGCTGCCGGGGAAAATTTCCGCGGCAAGCGCGTTCCGCGGAACTTGTTGAACGCTTCTCACGTGGTTCGCCGTCGGCGTCGGTCGTTTCTGCGACGATGTTCCGCGGAATGTATCGGCTCTGTGTATCCGGGTTTTCGGACTGATAATTTTGCGGCTAACTTCCGGCCCGTGATTGCCCAGGAAACTGGTAATGTGCGTACGTCCTACATACGCGAGAGAGGATCGAACGTTTCCAAAGTCGGAGCCTCGAAGACACGCGCGAGCATCGAGATTGCTTTTCGCGGGGAATCCTTCTCCGAACGCCTCCCTCACCGTGGAAAAGAACAGCTGGCATTCCGCGATACGTCCGACGGAAAGGAAATTGTTCGGAAATTCGCGCGAAGAAATAATGGAGAACGAACCGAAGGGAGAACCGGAACTCGAAGCAATATTTCTAGTTAATTGGATATTTCTGATGTTACCTTTGCCCTGGCTGTTTCGTAACCTTCTTCCTCGAGCCAGAGGTGGCTGAGTTTTTATGAAGAAATTGATGGAAAATGTACAACGACGTTTCTTTTTTGTTCTTTCGTACAGAGTCGCGAAAGTGAAAGTTTACGCGTTAACATTAACAGGAACGTTGTCAACGTCGAGTGGCTTCGTTCCGTTGATTCTACTCGACGACCGCGCGGAAACGATCAAAGAACGAATTACAAGCGAGCCGAGCAACTTCTGTCGCGGGACGGTGCTCTGGCTAGGGAAAAAGGTCCTTCGAGTTCGTACGGCGAAGAAAATCGATGTACCTGAATTAAAGGCTCGGGTTAGGCGCGAATATCGGGGGAGCTGTTGGAATCGCTGGGAAAGCTTCGAGTAAATATCTACAGCGCGCTGCACCCACAGGTCGATACTCTGAACGGCGAAACAGACGGTATCCCTTTATATTTAAAACCGGAGAGCCTCGGAGGCAGAGGGATGGTTCCGCGCGAAGAGAAACTACATCGAGCGAATCGGCTACGAAAACGCGCCGCGTGAATATTCAGACCGACCACTCGAAATATTCTACTGGCCTCCACGGAAAATAGCAGAAAATCTCTGGCGAATTTCAGCATATAATCCGAGGAAAAGAAAACGTCGTAAATCTAATATATCGAGCCACGCGTATGTCCAGTTCGGTGGGAAGCTTTCGCGATGTACGAAACGAAGCGAAATTCGTGGCGACACCGGTGACGTGATGATTCGTTTCGTTCGAATAAATCGGAACAACGGAATAAATGTTTCTCTGTGGAGGAAAGCACTCTGGAAATTGATCGAGCACTTGACCGAGTGCTCAAGTTTCTCTAGGCCCTAGCCGCGAACAATTGCGCTCGCTTCGTACAGAGTTAGAATCGGGTGTTCACGTAGCGGAAAATACTAAAAATAATGATACTTCTTTCGCCCGAGAATAGTGTCTGTTCATCGTCGGATATTGTGACACTTATCGGTTGCAACGATTCCAAGAAAAAAATTACGTTTATCTCGGTCGGAAAAGATCGACAAACGCGATAACATTTTCTCGTAAATTTTACGTTTTCGCGAAAATCGGGTTGGAAAAATAAGCGCGGCATGCGCCGTTACTACCCGGCGTGACTCGTCTTTTTTAGGATCGATTTTGTCCAAAACGGAGGCTCGTAGAGAAGAATTTCAATCTACCTTTTCAATTTATTTTTGCACGTAGAAGCTTCCTCGCTCGATAGCACCACTCATCGCGGCGTACACTCTGTGTACTGAAAAACCCTTTTCCGAGCGAGAGCTCGAAAGTTCAGTACGTGAAATTAATTGGTCGGAAATAATTGAAACGAACGCAACTCGTGTTTCTAGCCGTCGGTCGTGTAGGCGTTGATAATCGGTGCAACGTGTTCGACTTATAAACCGAACAAAGTTGTGGTTCGTAAAGAGAAATACAAGTTTTCACTTGGAAGAGTTTGATGAATCGAGAAGAGCGGATCGTGTTGCGAGAGTATACTCTGCGATCGTGTATAAGACGAACGGCATCAGGTCCGCGCTATTGTAGTCGTCGGATACAAATAAAGGTTCCGGACAAATTCTTCTAAACGTCGCGTTCGTTGGACACACGTGACAGAAGTGGGCCGAGGGTGAGCGGTTAACAAAGAACGTGCCTTCGAGAAATTGAGGGTGGCACTTGCCGGAGACTGAACGCGCGTTTTGCACAAAACTCCCATTTACTTTGTGGGATTTCGTAACGCGCGTTCGCGACGTGACAAATTTTTGATATGCACGTGTTCCATTTGGACGTTTATCCCGTGACTAAGAGAGGACGCTTTCTCTTCCGTAGTCTTTTATTCGAATAATAGACGACGAACGAAAACCCCGTATAACGATTCGTTCGCCGTGTTCGATCCCGATAGCGTTTCGCCGTTGAAACCAAGTTCGAACGTAATCTAATTAGGAGACCGTCTTCGAGCTCTGTATTTGACGGTGAGAATCGGATTCGAGACTGTTTTGCTTTATTCTTCGACGGTTAACTGTGCGCTGTAACCCGATTGCTGACTCTTGCGTCGTTAATCTCATCCAAGGAGAAAAAATCTGAACAAGTGGCGGATAATATAGAGGAAGAAGAGGAAGGGAGAGAGAAAGAGAGAGAGAGAGAGACAATCGCTAAACCGTGCATCAGATGGTGATCTTAAGACTCGAGAGTAGAGGAGGGAGAAGAGGGGCGAAAAACGTAGAAGGACCCTCGAATTTAAAGCTGGAAGCAGAACCACGCTTGTTAGAGTTCCGTGAAATTAAGTCCGCTTAACGAGTACGAGTCGGGAAATTTAACGAGCCCGCCCAGACGTAGGCAACCCTGAGAATTTTCCAGGAGTTTCGACGCTGACGGGGACGACCGCGTCCCAACCCAAGCGCGCAGAGTGTCCTTTTGCCACGGCCTTACGCGAAAAAAGTAAAAGTGACACAGCGTCGTGTAACTAGCGGTTTAACCCGTCGAGTCGATATCGTAGAGCTTAATCGAACGAGAAACGAGCTAGAAAAGATGACGGAAATTCTTTCTAATTTTCTTTATTCTATTTAATTTGATTCAAAACGACACGATACATCGTATTTAAACTTCATCGAAATCCCTGACCCGGAGTACGAAAAGCGATCGATTCGACGTGGAACGACCCTACTACGCGACCCTGAATTTATTCGCGGAAATTCGAAAGTGGCGGAGAAAGATTTTTCCGGGTCGCCAGTCGGGGAAATAATACGCTCGTCGACTGCGGCGACTTCGGTCGCGCTTCGATCGATGAAATACTTCGGTAATCGTCCTCGCCAGCCACCGTAACTCGACGCATTAATATCGTGATTGCTTACGCGACCTTCAGGGGAGATCGAGGCCGATAAACCGGGGACCTGAGCCTCTCGACGGGATCGAGACGACCGCGCGACAGTACGAAAACCCGAGGAGACCAGAGATGCTGGAAAGAAGTAAGATCGAGACCGCGACGCGGAGGACACCCACCGTGGAGAATGCGGCGGACGAAGGGGTTCGGGCAACGAGATAACTTTGGTTTCGTCTACGTTAGAGTCGCCATTGGAAATGGATGAAGCTGGTCATCGCGAGGTATCGTCGATCGAGCGAAAAGACTTTGAACAAATGAGAAGCGAATCAGCCGAAATATGTAAATAGTCTAGTCGAATAATGCACGCGAAGGGCCTAACGGTCAGTGACCTGAAACGATCGGTGAGACGAGCTTTTCTACACCGATCGACAACCCGATCCTCGCTAATTGGCACAAACTATTCCTAGTCGACCGGTTCACACGAAACGGACACCGCTATATATCTTTGCGAATAACGCGGTCTGTAGACAGACAAAGAAGCCGAGATTACCTGGGAAGTTCGCTACTAGGTACGAAGAAGCTGCGTAAAATGCGATCTTCGTGGTCAGCCAAGTCGCGAAGCTAGACAGTCCAACGGCTAAGATGTGCCACTCTCTCGGCTGGATGTTGGTACTCCTGGTATCGCTTCAGCAGCTTTCGGTGGTATTCCAGTCGAAGGCGCACAGCGAGCGGGAAGCTGTCCTGATACCCGGTGACATCGTTCTGGGTGGTCTGTTTCCGGTGCACGAAAAGGGCGGCGCCACTTGCGGACCCAACATTTACAATCGCGGCGTACAGCGTCTCGAGGCGATGCTCTTCGCCGTCGACGAGATCAACAAAGACAAGACGACGCTTCCTGGGATCACTCTCGGCGTGCACATACTCGACACATGCGGCAGAGACACTTACGCCCTGAATCAAAGCCTACACTTCGTCAGAGCGTCCCTGTCCAATTTGGACATCAGCGTCCTGGAGTGCGCCGACAAGTCTCCGCCAAGAGTGAAGAAAACTGCCACCGCCGGTCCAATCTTCGGGGTGATCGGTGGCTCCTACAGCTCGGTGTCTCTCCAGGTGGCCAACTTGCTCAGGCTTTTCCACATACCGCAGATATCGCCTGCGTCGACCGCCAAGGCCCTCAGCGATAAAACCAGGTTGCGTTCAATTCCTTTACCTATCGAACACGATCTTTCCTTTCGTATCGACCACGAAATTTCCCTAATGATGGAGTCAACGAGAGAATCGAGGGAATTGGAATTCGAGGGACCTGCTGCCGGCAGTTGCTTCTTAACGAGGAAATCCCCTCTGATTCGTGCGTCGACTCCATCATAAATCCCCATCGATTCGTACAATGAAATTAGAAGAATGTCGTCGATTTTCCGCGAAAAAGCAAATGTCCGATCTGTACCAGGTTCGACTACTTCGCGCGGACGGTGCCCCCGGACACGTTCCAATCGATCGCCCTGGTGGACGTGGTGAAGAGCGCCAACTGGTCGTACGTTTCGACCGTGTACTCCGAGGGTAGTTACGGTGAATACGGGATAGAGGTGTTCACCCGCGAGGCCACCGAGAGAAACGTGTGCATCGCCGCGGCGGTGAAGGTGCCGAGCGCGGCCGACGATCGCGTGTTCGACGACATTATTCAAAGGCTGAGTAAAAAGTCGAACGCCAGGGCGGTGGTGCTGTTCACCCGGGCGGAAGACGCGAGAGGGATCCTCGAGGCAGCTAGACGTTCGAACCTGAGCCAACCGTTTCAATGGCTGGCCAGCGACGGTTGGGGCCGACAGAGCAAGCTGGTGGAAGGCCTCGAGGAAGAAGCCGAGGGCGCCATCACGGTGGAGCTCCAATCGGAGAATATACCTGGCTTCGACGAGTACATGGCCAGTCTAACGCCGGACACCAATCAACGGAATCCTTGGTTCACCGAGTACTGGGAGGAGCTGTTCGGTTGCGTGCCGAGGAGGAACCGGCAGAGCCAGGCGAGCCAAAACGCGACGGAGTGCTCACCGACGCTGAGGTTGACCGCGGCAACCGGATACGAGCAGGAGTCGAAGGTCCAGTTTGTGGTGGACGCGGTGTACGCATTCGCGCTGGCTCTTCACAATCTTCAACGAGACGTGTGCACGAAGAACGGTGGTCTGTGCGCCTCGATGGCGCACTACGATCGCGGAGCGTTCTATAGGAATTATCTGCTGAACGTGGCCTTTACAGGTGAGTCGAATTACACCCTGAAAAGCCTCTCTCCTCGAAACCCGGGATTCAATATTTCGCGCGTCCTCTCATCGTCGAACCGTGCCCAACGCCAAGGATTCAATGGAGGGAGGGACGCAGAGGGCTGGGAACGTATTCGGAAATCGGTGGCCGTCGTATGCAATTTTTCCCCTTGCTGCGAACCATCCAATAAACGCGCGTATTCGCTTGCCTTATGACGCGGAACGATAATATCGTCGTGTCGGCGATAAACGACGATGAAACCAAGACGTTCGTGGCAGACCGACGGCGACGGTACAGCCAGCTAGGGCGATGTGAAATTTTGCATACACCCGGGCCTTGCCGTCGCTTTGAAAATGCCGGATAGCACGCGTCACGGTATTTGAAAATCGTTTCGAACCGAGGTGGCGCACCGACAATCCTCTTCGTTACTTCTCGCTATTGGCTTTTTAAATGGACGGCTACACTGCGATGGCAAGTGAACGTTCGTCGGGCAAGAGAAGCCAAGTTTTCCAGGAAATCCTGGTCAGACTTTGAAGCAAACTTTTCGAGCGAACTGGACGAGCCTGAAATAACACTAACAAGGAAACATCTCCAAGTTTGAAACGCTGATTTTTATGAACCTTCAAGGCAAAGTAGCTCTCGTACGAATACTAAACGCGCGTAGCTTCTCTCACCGGGTATGGGGTTCGTATCGAAAGAGGACGAACAGCCCGTAAATGTCGGAGGGCGAAACGTATCTCGTCCGATACCGTAATATTTTTATTCGAACTACGTCGTACCAAAGTTTCATCAAAATCGGTGTTTTACACTCGTCGGTATTCCTTTGTTCGTACTATTCCCCGTACACGTCCAGTTCGCTCGAAATACTCGTTTCAAAGTCTCATCAGGATTTTCTGGAATTTAGCTTCTACCGGCCGACAGACGTACGCTTGCTTCGCGGAACGTACCCGTTTATCACAAAAAGCGATGGTAGAAAGTAATCAAGAGCGCCGTAGACGCGTCTCCTTTTCGGGATGATTTCGAAATCCCGTGAACGTGTATTATTCGTTGTTTTCAAAGCAGATCCCACCTAGGAAGCGTAGGTATCGTACCTCGGTCCCGTTCTTATCGGTTTCCCTCGTACTTTTGATCGTTGGATCGGTTAGGTCGGTCCTCGGCGAACGGAGCATTCGAACGCCAGGTCGGAACTCGGATTTTTCCGCGAGTAGGGTAAAAGCTCGCGATACTCGTACAAAAGGCTAGCCCGAATTACTGCCATCGGTTTCGATACGAATACCACGGCGCGAATCAGAAAACGAATTTTCGTGGGAAGCTGTAAAAAGCGCGGAATTCGGTTCTCGAGTTGAAAAAGCAACGATCCGTCGGCTCGTCGAGACCCGGCGACGAGCGAAACGCAGACCGCGCGGCGGTTTTTTTTTTTTTTTTTTTTTTTTTTTTTTTTTTTTTTATTCTCGTACTCTGGCGCGATAAAGACAAACCCATTAAAAAGGGTTGAGGTAAAACTCGACCGAGGCCAGCAAAGCTTCGTGACTCCGACCGAGGAACGGGGAGGTTGGAGGACGAGTCGCGCGGAAAAGCGGGAAAGGGATGGAGATAAAAATGTGGGGCGGCGTAGTATCACAGAGGGATCGTTGCTGTATCGATCCTAAATGTGTGCAGTCTCCAATGCCATTGTTTTGTTTTTTTTTTCCCGCCATTTCTAAAGACAACACGCGACGGAGGTTCGCGCAAAGTTACATGGGACCCGAATAATAAGGACGCTCGCAAACGAGACGCTTTGGCCATTTTTTTCGCTTAAACAACGCGATCGTACGAATCATCGGTCGACGATAGTCCGTGCGACACGTTTTCGCATCGCGTACCTGCTTCCGGTAATAATAAACGCAAACGCGATAAACAAGATATCGCGAAAAGATGAAAAACTTGCCTTCTCTCCCTCAACGATCACAATCGGATCTTGACGTTTGCAAAATGGTACTTTGGTCGATTTTTCGGGATTTCGGACCGCTACGCGGTGCTGCGTTGCGCTCTTTTTTTCGCCATACTGGTCCGAATCGCTTCAGACTACGATACGATACACGGAACGTTATGGAAATATTTGTATCGAGCCCTCGTAAAGCTTAACGTTCGAATGGTAACAAACCGTTTCAGCGGGCTGTGTCGCCAATAAAAGTTGCCAATCCTCGCTTTTTTACGAGTCGATACGACACCGTTGTTCCTTTTTTCCCCGCGATAGTCCGTTTCCTCGGCCGGTCTTTCCTCGCGTTATCCGTCCACGTGTGACCGTGATTAGACCGGTATCTCGAATCGAATCGGACGGCATTCGCGGACAGCGTTATCGATTCGTTCGGTTGACGCGAGCTACGCGGCGATTCCCACGAAATGACCAGGAAATAATGGCCCGGTTTCGGTGACTTCGCTTCACGGTTTAGATCGATCTGCCCGGCGCTTTTACGGGACGAACGGATGACAAGGAGATTACGGCACGGCGCACAAACGTAAAACGGATCGGAAGGAATTTTTCCGTGGTGTGGACATTTCACCGACGCGACCAATGGGGCTACGAACGTCCACGATCGTCGAATAAAGTATTCGTACGTCGCGTTACTTCATACTTCGACCGGCAATAATCTCGAAACGATCCATTAAACCATCCGAACGTTGTATTATTTTTCTAAGTCAATGTCTCGAATAACTTCGATTCCTTAAAGTAACATCAATTTCGTTAAAGTTTCGAGCATTCGTCGAGCTTTCGAACGAAAATTCACGGCCGACGAAACTCTGTATTTTTGCACTCTTTTAATACACAATACTTTTCGATATCGATGGCATCGTCAATTTTTACCAAAGCAGGAAACTGACAGCCGCGCGATTGGAAACTGAACGCTTTACCGCGAGAACCAACGAAACGAAATGTGGCATAAGGCAAACGCGATCTAAAGGAAACAGAAACAAATTACAGTCGATCGATGTCTGAACCGTTACGAGTCCGCCAACCGTCGGGAAACGTATCGGAAATCGGTGAATTGTGTTTCGAATAGCAGATGTTCGATTTACGACTACGATATTTACAATTCGCGCATAAATTTCGGCATCCGAAACGTTCTTCTTAAGCGTTTCGAGAAGAAAATATCCAAACTGTTTTCTTGATTACGAAGTAGTCCGACTCGATCTGATATTTCGCCACCGTTCGTTTTCAACTACCAACAGAGAAAAGTATCAGCCATCGTGCGACTAATACCTCGTATTACGTTCCTCTGTATCGTTGAAATAACGAAACGACACGCGACTAACGTGCAGTTCTTGGAGTATTCTTTTTTTTTTTCTTTTAGAACGTTGTATAACTAGGAAATCAATGCATGGGTACGTATGCATGCTCGAGAGCAACGCTTCCTTTTCGTTTCGCGCTCTAAGTTTAACTTCTGAAATTCCATTTTGTCTTTCTATAAAAAGCAACGACACTTAATGTCCTCAAAGTAAAGGGTATAGAAATTATCCGAGTAAGGAACGCCGTTATAAATCACGAATCCTGTACCTATTCAGGCAAAGTACTCGAATATCGACGAACGAATCGCGAAAAAGAATGTGTAAAATGAAAGTCGGTGCGTCGCGTGTGTTCGATATCGACTAAAAAATTTCCTGTGCAGCTAGTAAATGGAGGGTCATCGAAACGGCTTTGGAATCTGCCTCTCGTTTATCCGAGATATGGCGACGCGCGCGGTACCGATCGTATTAAAAGCAAAGTGGAAATATAATTTTAGTTTTTATCGAATTGTTTTGCAGGTAAAATCGTAGCTCGGAGGGCCGCGGGAGCGCAATCGTGTATCAATTAGGCGAGGGGGAAAGGCCATGATTAAAAGCCATATTGTCGGGTTCGTCTGGCCAGGGATATATTAAAACTGAAGCGAGCGGACTATAAATCCGCCGTGTAAATTTTACGAAATGCTTTTTTCCCCGAAAGTAACGTTGAAACGCAGCCGCTGTAATCGAATATCCGAGTGCTCGCGAGTCGCGATGCTGTTCAAATATTCGTACGATAAACAGAAAAAATGTATTTCTCCGTCGATGAAATAAAGAATTCGCGACGTATTCCACGCGAACATTTCTGCATGCTGAACCGAACGAATATTTCCATGTAAACTCTTGGCGCAAATGTTTTCACTTTTCGTTGCATAAATTGCAACAACGCGTTCCTTTGTCTTCGGCTTAGAACTAGAATGGAAAATGTACCGTCTCGTCTCTCGTTGTTCCGTCGGTTACGTTCGCACTCGAAATAATTAACGTCGGAACTGCAACTTTTCGCTCGTAGCCAGGAAACGGCCACGCATCGCGCAAGGTAAGTTAAATTCTCGAAACTTTTCGATAGAATGTAATTCCGCGATGAGTCGGAATTGGAACTTTGTTTGCATAATAGGAGAAATTACGCGTGGAAACAACGCGGTGAACGTTTTAAATCCGTACAATTCGTCCGACAGCGAAACACGCCGGTGGATCTGTATTAGTTTGCGGCTGTTTCTCGTTCATTCGACGCGAGCAACGTCGATTCGAGTTGTTGCGTTGTATTACGTTGAAAATTAGAAAAGCGAGGAACGGTAATATCGTTAACGGTGCTACGCAGCGAATCAGTATCGTATGATCTGCGAGCCGGTCGATCGGATCGAAGAGACAACGAATGATCGAGTCAAGCGGAAAATTGATGCGATGCGTGGATAGCGTACAGTGACCTTGAGCGATCGATATCGAAGAGTCTCGCGTAAGAGAAGCGCGATGGTTGTTTCTAACTTTAAGCTATTTCGGAGTTACGAACTCTGGCAACTAAAGCGTACGTACGTTCGCAGCCGTGTCCGTACGAATCGCGTCACGGTCTTTTTCAGTTTGTGAACCGTGTTTGATAGAAACTAAGAGATACAAGTACTATTTTCAGACAGTGCTGGCAGCGAGGTGAAGTTCGACGAGCACGGGGATGGTCCGGCGCGGTACGAGATCCTCAACTTCCGGAAATCGGATCTGAACGGGTCTAATGGATACCACTATCGGGCAAGTGAAAGTACTTTTGACTTCCCCTGTCCCTCTTCCCGATTAATTAGAACTTCTGAATTACGGGCTCGCCTTTTCCACCGGTGGAGAGCAAACTTTACGCAGAGAACCGCTTTCGGCAGTTTTACGCTCGTTCGGACCGGAATAATATCGAAATCGGGGATCCTATTATTGGATTTGGCAAATGTCATAGGCCCACGGATAATTATCCTTTGTGCGACTCGGAGTAAACGCGAATTCGCGTGTGCAAACAACGTTACGGGCCCCGATCGTTCGTACGTTCCTATTGTAAATTGAAATTCGTTCGTCTCTCTTCCCAGGGACTGCGAGTTTGAATTTTCTATCGGGCGTACGTATACGATTAGAAAAATTCCCGAGATCGAGGACAAATCGTTCGCGCGTTAACTTGTCTCCGATCTGTCGCTATTTTCATCGAAACGAAACAACGAGTTTTCGCGTCGGAGCTCGCGTATCCAATTAACGATTGTTTCTCGATAAAAATCGTAAATCAACGCGTACCGAGGCGCGCCCTCCCGTTTCGAACGATAAAGTAGCTCTTCGGGGGACATAAATTGCAACGTGACCTTCGTTGCATCCACCTTCCTGCACCGGATGCAACTTACCGGATGAAATATGACTTTTTACTTCCCGGAACAGGTAACTTTAAATCGTCAAAAAAGCGCCAGTTTTATCGCCCGACGTTCCTACCGGGACGGCCATTAATATTAAAAGAAAAAAAGAAAAAAAAAAAAAAAATTAATGCAATCGTATATCTTCCCGACAAGCGGATAGAATAAAATCTTTTTCGATTTCCATACGAAAGACGCGTATCTAATTCGAACAACTACGACCGATCGTTACCGTTACCTTTTGAGCGGGCAAACTCTTTCGTTCGATTGTAACGCGTACGAAATTCCCTACGAAACACGCGGAAAAAGTACGCGTCAACGAACGAACGCGCAAAGAGAGAGAGAGAGAGAGAGAGCGAGAGAGCGAGAAAGAGAATAGCGAGCGATAACGATGTAAATGTTGCATTAGGTGGTAGGGAAATGGTTCAACTCACTGGACATTCGCACGGACGAGCTCGTTTGGACAAGGGGTACGAAGGACATACCGACTTCTGCGTGCTCGTTGCCCTGCGAGCCAGGTATGATAAAGAAGCAACAGGGTGACACTTGTTGCTGGGTATGCGACCAGTGCGAAGAGTACGAGTTCGTCTACGACGAATACACCTGCGAAGACTGCGGGCCAGGTTACTGGCCGCACGAGGACAAGCGGGGTTGTTACCAGTTGCCGATCAACCACATCAGATGGAACAGCGCTTTCGCGATCGTTCCAGCGGTGATCTCGTGCATCGGAATCGTGGTTACTCTCGCGATCGCGTGTCTGTTGTTCCATCACAGAGAAACTCCCGTGGTCAGAGCGTCGGGCCGCGAGCTGACTATTATTCTGTTGGTCGGAGTGCTCGTTTGCTATCTGAACACATTTCTGTTGCTCGCGATACCAACCACGGTCACCTGCGTCCTTCAAAGGCTGGGAGTGGGAGTGAGTTTCAGCGCGGTCTACGGTGCTCTCTTGACCAAGACCAACAGGATCGCCAGGATTTTCGATTCCGCTTCGAGGTCGGCCGTCAGACCTAGATACATCAGTCCCACCTCTCAAGTTTGCATCGCTGCTGCCCTGATCGCGCTGCAGGTACGTCGTAACGTCGACGATCGTTGGACCGTAGCAACCCTCTTTCGCTAATTATCGTGATTCCGCTTCTCTTGTCCCAGATCGTTCTAACGTTAGTGTGGATGATCATCGAACCACCTGGCACGAGATTCTACTATCCGGATCGTAAACAGGTGATTCTCAAGTGCAACATCCAGGATATGAGTTTCCTATTCTCGCAGCTGTACAATGCCCTGTTGATCCTCGTGTCCACTATCTACGCGGTAAAGACACGGAAAATTCCGGAAAATTTCAACGAGAGCAAATTCATCGGCTTCACCATGTACACTACTTGCATCATTTGGCTGGCGTTCGTTCCGATCTACTTTGGGACCGGAAACGCGCACGAAACTCAAATCACCACGCTTTGCGTGGCAATCAGCCTCAGCGCTTCCGTGACCCTCGTCTGCCTATACTCGCCAAAGGTCTACATCATCGTCTTTCAGCCGGACAAGAATATCCGAAGGAAGGTCACTATGGGCGATAAATTTAAGAAGCAAGGCAGCAGCGCGGGAACTTCTTCTATTACCAAGTGTAAGTACTCGAAAACGAGCGAACCGCGTCTACTTTTGCCTCGCCAGACGAACTTTGTTCCCTCGGAGTTTATTTTCTCTCGGATGCTGCCTGTCGCGTGAGCTTCTCAAATTTCACCGACCACTCGACAACTTGGATAACCTCGTTCTTCCATTCAGCCTTTTCGCTTCGGCGAGCCTAGCCATTCATAGTCGAAACCGATAACATCGTTGAACCTGATCCCATTACCGAACGGTGTTGCGGACTCGTAGTTTCGCGTCTCGTGAAATCGAACGCACAAAGAATATCAAAAAGACGAGCCCTCGTCGATCGAGGCGCGAACGAAAGTTACCCTGGCGTCGGCGTCGATATAATCTTGGCGAATTCCGCTTCAAAGGCGACGAGTTCCGGTTTCTGCCTCCCTTAGGATCCGTTGCTACGATAAAAGCGAACCTCGCGATACCTAATAATGCCTGAATTCGCTGACTCGATCGCAAATTATGAAGCCCCGAAACCCGTCGGCGTACTCGGCTCGCTGCCAACGCCTTGTATCTGGCGGTTCCACTTTCGATCCGATGTATTTTCTTTTGTATCGCGAGGCTTCGCTGTAGCACGAACTCGACCAATTTGTACGTCATTAACGGCGAACAAGGAAAAATAAACCTTCCATCCATTCCAACGTTGACTCGCGACCAGGGTACGGAGAGCCCGAGTCCTTTGCCGATAGCTGCGAATATCGTTCCTCGATTTCGTCGATTAATTGGCATCGTTTCAGCGAGCTTTCACAGGGACAAAACTCAAATAGGAATAAATTAGGAGTTTTCGTAAATTTCGAATTCCCACCTTATTCTCCCTCGACTCTTATCGCTGCGCTCGTTATAGCTTTACTCGGTCGCGACATCGCGGCGCCATTAAAACGCCAAGGCGTTCTTCTGGAGACAAAAGCTCGATGGAAACAAACGCGGAGAATCGCGAGCGATCGGTACTCGATACTAATTATCTTCGTTTTTTATTCTTCTGCACGTTACGGTATCCCCTGACCCAAAATGCCAGCCTCGGACGAAATGTTTGATCGCTTCCGTTTCTTGTTTTTATTCGCGGACTCTATTTTCTTGGATTCTCGAACCATCGAAGCCACGTAGTACAGTTTCGTGTTAGTTTTCCCGATTTTCGAACGGCTCTGTAAATCTCGCCAACGATTAGCTTGGAATACACCGACTACGACTCCTCCCGTTTAACGCGACGTTACGCCAGATCCGTGTTCGCGTGCTGCTACGACCGGCAATATTTCCCGGGAATAATACTTAATGCGAATTCGATTGTTGGCAGACGCATCAGCTCTCGTTCAATTTCCGTATGGAAATCGATTCTCCCCAATTACCACCGTCTATTGTAATTACCGGACCAGTTACACGGCCAAACGGTGCTCAATCATCGGGGATTACATTGGGAACAATAATTGCCCGAATCGTTCTTGCTCGCGCTAAACTATCGAGTTAATTCTTCGACTGATAACGAGACGTGCCTGTAACCGTTTCGTAGGCAATCTGGAATGTCCAAGAAACGGATACGAAAGTTTCGCGGGACCTACTGGACAACCGTAAAAGTTCAATCGAAAGCTTCCTTTAATCTTTCACCGTCGAGACTAAGTACGGTCGAAGAAGTTCATTTTCCACGCGTCGATATCTTCGACCTCCCGTTTGCACGGCATTTCGCGAAACACGTTACACGGACGATTTTCCACAGACGTTCCTATATCCGACCGGATATTACGAGGTATTCAATTTTCGAAGGATTTAAGGGGATTCGTCGCGCCCCACGAAGAAACGATTCCGTACCGGTTCGATAGAATAGAATAATAACACGGCCAGTGGACAAAACACGTTAAGCGTGGCTACATAGTTTCGCCATAGATTCTCTCGGTGTTCCTCGACGAATATCCTTCGATTTTCTACGTAAATTGGCTGTATTATTATCTCGCAGAGGGAACGAGAATAAAACCACCGCACCGCGTCATAGTCGACGAGAATTCAAGATCTTCTTTAAGCGCGGTTCGCGGTTAAAAATTCATCAAGGATCGATCCTCGTCCGACGATGCGTCTCGCCAGCCGGATCGCAATTTCGCGACGTCGGCGTCGGCGTCGTAATGGTAAATTAATGTCTCCTTCGGGGAACATGGCGCGATCGCGATTCGGACCCTTCGAGGAACGAACAACAGGGCTGAACTCAAGGTTGCTTCCTAGCGATCGATTACCCGGAATATGTTATTAACCACGTACTAATTATCCGTTCGTTCGCCGCCGAACCCGAAACACGCGGTTAATATTGCAAGAGAGTAAATGCGCCGTTGGCGCGATCGAACCTCTTAACGCTAATTACAATCGACATTGTTCGTCCCCTTTTCCCCGAGGTAGGGCTGTACTCGTCCTTGTTCGCGACGTCGACTCTCATCGGAATAACGATATTTTTTATCCTTTTTCGCGGTCTTTCTTAACTCTTTCTTTGCAAATAACCGATACGCGGGCGACGCCCCAAAGAACCGTAACGGTGCGCACGCCCCTTAATTTCAAAGTGCATTACGGTGCGTCAGAGGTATTAGTACTCCGTCGATATATTCTCGGTACGCCGCGTTGCGAGACACCGATGGATAAATATTTACGAAAATCTACAATTTTCCGAAACGTAACGGTTCGTAGCAACTAAGATACGCAAAGACAATTGTAATCCTTGATTGCGTGCGATACGCGATAAAAATTGTTTCAAGTGACCGTTCAGCCGTGTATCAATTTCAATTAAAGTAGTTTAACTTCCGATGCTCATCGGAGGACTTGTATGTACACTTGAGCGCGCAATGGTCGATAACTGCGTTTACTCTTTCGAACTTTTCGTCGAGTTTCGAACTAATAGTGGAAATTTTCATTTACGAGTACCGTTCTGGAAACTTTAAACTGCTTTTCCGAAAGCCGCCGCTGGTTCGACTTCTATTGTGCCTCTTGCGAAATAGCCGTTTCCAAAGTTTCGCTAATTACAAGGCCAATTATAGGCTACCGTTGTACACGTTTGCTCTGGCCCGAGGAGGACCGCGTTTCACTCTTACCGTTGTGCACTTACGTTGCATCGCGCATTCCTGCGTTACCATTCTGTTCTTATGTTTCTTATGAACATACCATTGTTCCGAACAGAGGTGCCAATGATTCCTATTCGTATACAATTCGAATACGATATTAAACAATGATTTTCCTTTGTTGTTCGTTGGAACATTTGGAATCAAATATGGTGGCATGTTCGGTTTCGAATTACCGTGTTGTCCGATTTCAGACACTGGCTGCGAGCTGACCAGTGAGAGCATGCCTCTTCAGAGCGCGCTGACGGCCGCTGTGCAGACGTCGGTAGGAGTGACGGAGATCTCCCTAGCGTCGAACACATCAGCCAAAACTAATAACGAGCAAGTGGCGCAGCTATAGAGCTACTTTCGCGGGCCACGATTCAGATTTCAGGGCGCTGCCGTATCCTGGCCAGCGGCCAACCGATAACACCGGCCGAAAGGACCGCCAGTGAATAGTGCGAGTATGTGCTAATAAAAAGAAGATTCCCTCCGCCGGCCGTGAAAGAAACGTTGCGCGTATAATCGAGAGGAATAAGGACGAGGACCCGTCGCTGATAACGGACCGGTCACAAAGAATCCTCTGCCGAGTCCGATGATGCTCCGTGGCGTTTCGCGACATCGGATCCGCCGATGATCGCGTACACTCGGCTAGACGAAGGTAACCGGAAGTCCTACGGAACACGCGAAAGACTAAAGCACGGGCGGAAAAGTAGATACGCTTAGAATCGTGGTTAACCGTAACGCGAATGATGTCGTCGAGAGGTGGACGAGCGTGTAATAGGGGAAGGTTGGCTTATTTCGACCGCGAGTTTTGTTTCACTGTAAAATCTAATCACGAGGAATTTAGGGAATACGGAGACGTGCGCGGCAACCAGCTTTACAACTCAGAGACCGATATATTTTAATATTCTATATATTTACGATACGATACGCTAACTTGATCGCGTAATTGACGATATTTTGAAAGCAGTAACTTGAAAGCAGTAACGCGCGTACAGCGGGGATTAAAAAAGGAGCTATCGCAAGGCGTAGCTTTCGGATAGGTGGAACGACATGGATACCTTGCAATTGGTGGAATGCAACGTTTACAATGTCATCCGACCAATCGAAGCCCGTACGCTATACGTGCACCGAGACCTCGCAAAAGTTTTTTTTAACTCCCCTGCGTATACGTACATACCAAATACAAGCTCTGCAACGACCGAGTTAGTTGCTCGAATTGAATCGCGCTTGGTTGCTCAAATTCAATTGCCTTCATTTACAAATCATTCTTGTTTTCTGTATATTCCTTTCGTGTATTTTCTTTCATCCGTGGACTAGCGATAAGCGTTCGGGAGTTGTACAAATATTTTTAATACGTTCGTTGGGTGCGTTACAATCGAAGAAAATGTCGAACGCGGTCCTACTTGGACAACCTTCCCTTAAATCAAGGCCAACTTTGCGCGTCGAAGAACGATAAACCTACGTTGCCTATTGTCTACTAACGACACCGATCGTATCGTCGTTGTCGTACACGTTCAATCATTGTACTCGTATATCGAGATCATTCGTATCGCGATCATTGTTGTCGTTATTGTTACTGTTAACGTTAACTTCGGTGAATTATATATGAACGATATACACACACGCATATGTATAGGTATTACGCACGCAATCCGCGACGGCACGAGATCGCAGCGTTACGAGAAGAAAAACTGTGACGGTAAGTTGCTCGTTGTGTCTCTTTTTTTTTTTTTCTTTTTTTTTTCTTCGTAAGAGATGAAGCGGAAAAATAAACGAAACATTCGCAGAAAGAGCAAGAGAAGAGCAAGCGGAGAGGTAAACGAATTTTACAATGTTTGTAGAGTCGTTTGCTGGTTTAACGAGCCGACTAACCGATGCGATTAATGCCACGCCGAGAATGAAATTCGATCACCGCTAATAATGACGATCGTTTCGAGTTTTCACCCCGCGCGACGCGTCGGTTAGAGGCGTCGTTAAATCGCGGCTCGTGCCAGGAATTATTCTGTCGGAAACGGTTCGCTCGCGCAAATATAATTAGCTTGTTCGAGTGATCGACGTTCATTGTCCATTCTTCTCACGTAGATCGTTGATGGAGCGAAGAAGAAAATATTTACATTCCGCGAGACGTATATAAACGTACGTATAGTATATATATATATATATATATATATATATATATATATAGATATATTCTATCGTTGCGCGAAATCTCATATGTTCCCTCGAGATAGAATCACGCAAGTTGCTAAATTTCATTGTCGATTCCCTCGACACCGAATTTTCTTTGCATCGATTACAGATTAATATTCGTCGCAATCTACTGGGGGACGAGTCCAAATTTACGATGAAATTGATTTTTCGCGAAATCCATGTGCGGCTCCGATTTATCGCTTTTTCGCCAGCTTGATAACTTACCACACCATAGTACACGCCACGTACAATTAACGTAACGTACAATTAACGTAACGTACAATTAACGTTACGTTACGATATGGCGTTGCTATCGATACAGCGTATCACAATCAAGTATTTCTATCCCAAAGACAACGAATAATTTGTTTCGTTAAACCGATAACCAAACGCGTTTGTACAACAATCGAGTCCCTTTTTAAACGCTATTATTTCAGCAGGCGGTTGGTATCCGCGACAACTTGAGAAATTATTTATATTATTGCTGCGTGAAACGGTTATCGTAGGCCAACGATAACCAATGAAATTAATCGCACATGCGACCATACTTTCGTCAGCTTCCGAGTCATTCGCGACACTGTTAATTGCCAGCGGTCACTAATAAAGGATAGAAATAAAGTGCAATTCGATAGATCGTCGTACGACGCCAAAGGAAATTATGATCGGAATTCGCATGCGTGAATCGACAGAACCGTACGGATTCAACGACGGGAAACGAAAATGTGAGCGATCGTGAACTAATTGAAAGCCGACAACGCGACGTGCAAATTCAGTACACTACTTCTTCCATGAACGGTAGACAATAAACGAATCGCTTTAAGACGAACATCAACCTAGCCCGACCGATATCAGGATTTTCGATCGAATCGTTCGATTCCGGCAATTCGCATTTCGTGATCTAAGACGACGACAGATATTTTAGCTTCTAGCAGAAGTCCGAAACGCGACGAGACAGGGACTGAAGAGCGAAACGATTCGATTAATTTCTTTAACGCTTTACCTACTATTTGTAAAACGATACGTTTTCTTCGATCATTAGTTGTACGAAATTATTTCTTGTTACATGCTTATCTTAATAAAACGAATGGCCGAAGGTTGGCGCGTATTCCATTGTTGCCCTGACCAGCGAAACATCTAGGCACAGTCTCGAGCAGAAAATAAACAAACATCGCAATACCGAATACGTTTGTAGAGCGTTAACATTTCGTACTAGTCGAAACGATCGCGAACGCAACAACACACGCGTACGACCGTTGAAGATTGCAATTCCAAACGCAAACGATCGAAAACTTTCTATTGCCACGAATGAAAGATTGGAGAAAAATTGAAGAAGAAAAAAAAAAAAAAAAAGATGTATACAACACATAGGTATAGACGAATCGATATAGTATATTTTAGTTCGATATTAGATAACGTTCTCGTCTATGTAGAGTGCGTAGATTGTTCTGCGATACTCGTGATATTTCATGCCCGAAATTGCAATCTTCGATGACGTTTCTTGGACTACGTATACGAATGACTCGAGTAGTTGTTGCGAACGCTTTCGCAAACTTTTGTCGTTGTTGGGAACGAACGTAACGAATGTAAACGCGATGGGGAACGAATATACATCAACGTGGAACCTTAAATCCAAAGTATCGTACAAAAGATAACTTTGTATCTTTTATTATGACACTGAAAAGCATTGAAATAGATTTACCCTGTGAAAACGAGCTCTTGAATTTATTACCGACGCAACCCCTCTATTTGGAACGCTACGAAAAACTTCATTAAATATTCGAACCTATAACCTATTCGAAACCTACATCCAGAATCAATCGTAAATATCCCCTCCGAATAAAACTTGAAGCGCTAATTAAATATACAACCCACCTCCGACTGTTCGCCGGGCCGCATTAAAATGAACAAACTTCTCGCCTCGTAGAATTAATATACGCGTCGGAATACGGTGCTGTACGTATCGGGAACACGACGTTCTCGCGATCGTTAAGGTGCATATAACCTGAAAACCCGTTAGAACCATTATCGAAATATTCCGTGAAATAATTCGTGTTCCGTTCGGAACGATGACAAAATCCATACATAGATTCGATGACGCAAGCGTCGCATTTGCTTCATGACTTATGGAACTGTAACCTGATTTTCGCGACCGATAAATTAGCATCGCAACGAGAATCAAATTATCCGTCGCTTTCGGCTCCGTGTCCCGGATAACCGATTGGATCCAGGAGTACGGTTCGATATACTCAAGGATAACGCGCGCTCGCCTTCAGCCGGCTGGAAACGTGGAAACGGGTCGCTAACGGAAAAACTGTTAGCGAAACGCGGGACACGTGTTCTTAATTAGATTGCAATTTAACGGAAGATGGTAATAGCATCCGGCGAGGAATATCGAATTTCATCGAGACGTTCCATCCCGATAACAAAGTTTAACCAGCTGGATCGATTCCCGTGAAATCTTTTATTCTCGCCTCGACTAATTAGAAAGAAAGCATTTACCCTTTTCACGTGAGTAGAAATGTCGAGAATGTTACCAACGATCGTCGCGGCGAGAACGCACGTGCCGTATCGTTGTAACAGCGCAAAGATGAGAAGTCGATTAACGAGCCTGATCGGTTACAGTATAATCTCCTGGATCGAAGGTGTTCAGACTAATTGTAAGCCTCGAGAATTACGACGTATTTACCATACCGTATAGCGAAGCGACGGGGGTAACGGCAAAATAAATTTATATAGTTTTATTTCAATTTTAACACGAGATGTGTATTTGTTCGTTTTAGCTTTCACGAATAAAAAAAATCGTATTTTTCAGGTAAAAATTTGTGTATTCCATATCTGTGATTTTACCCGTACGTACAGTAACTCCCAGAAATATTCGGACACTAGTGTATACAGGGTGTCCCAAAAGTCGGGGATGAGCCGGAAATGGGGGGTAGCTGAGACGATTCTGAACAACAATTTCCTTTGCAAAAATGTCGGATGGGGCTTCGTTGAGGAGATATCAAGCGAAAACCCCGACCAATCAGAGCGCGCGTAGACCGTTGGAGCGGCCGCGGTAGCGAAGGCTACGCGCTGGCGGCCGCGCTTGCACG